GTGCTATACCGTTTATGGCGTCAGCCGTAGACTGATAGGCATTGATTCTCTCCCCCCCCCCCCCAGATTAAGCTATCCCCATCTGATGAGTCCAAACAAAGAGGAAACCGGAGCAGTGGCGTGCCAGTTTGCAAAGAGCGCCACCAATAGATTTCAAGTTTTCATACGGTCCATGTGATCGAAATGACCGAGGTCCATATCAGCTTTACCGAATTTTCAATAGAATTTGTTTCTAGCAACCAAACCACACAGCGGATTCTCTAAGGATAGCTTTGCATTCGTTTCCGTTATACCAAGCGTTGCTTGTCGATCTCAGTGGCATAGTGTTTATAACGTCCGCCGTGAAGCACTAAACTTTGATTTTAACCTTAGCTTAGGCAACTTCTAACTGATGAGTCCCAACCAGAACGAAACCGTGGTCGTGGTTTGTCTGTGTTGAGATCAGCAACATCAAAAGATTTTCATTTCACCTACCGTCCTTTTGATCGAAATTATCGAGGTCCAACTCGTATGAACCCAAGTCTTAATATAGGTTATTTAGCAACGCAATCACTCATCGGATTCTTCAATCCAACGTTACATTCCTTTCCGCTTTACAAAGCGTTCCTCACGGATCTCAGTGGCATAGTGTTCATGTTACCAGCCGTGAACTATTAGACTATTTATCACCCCAGCTCCTGCAGGAACGGTAGGCAGAAAACGTAGCAATAAAGCCAATGACTTTAGCTATAAAACAAATCGAAAGAGACCGTAACCTGACTACTTCAATTCTCCCAGTAGAGTTGAGGCACTGCAATGTTTTTCTGACAGATTAGCATACAGAAGCATTAGCTAGGTTGCACGCTTTAGAAGACCAGCTATGTGCGGTAAACTTAGAACTGGCATCCAAAAACGAAGCAGTGCCCCCCTCGCCTGTCTGTCAGATATTCGAAATACTAAAGACCCCACTATATTGCAGGCGGCCGGTAAATTGCTCTCCACTATCTCAGCAGAGACAAACGACTGTGCCCATCGTGTTAATAATGCATTAGTAATCAAGCTACACGAAAGATTTCTGTTGAACAAGCTAAAGCGTCTATTAACAAAAATTTGTCATGTTCCTCCTGACAGCTTCATATCTAAATGTACACAAAAGCAGAATAAAAATCGATCTTGTCCGATTGTCATTACCTTCTGCAATCAGGAGCTTGCTAAAACTTTCCTCATGACGAAATATGAAGTCAAATCATGTCTCAACTTTGGACACATTCTACTAAAGCCTGATGAAACACCTCTACAACGGACATTTGCACTGTCCAGTAAAGCCCCAAATATACAAACGGCATATGGAGCAAAAATTATTTCAAGTACCGCCACCCAATCCGAAAGGTTGCTTTGCGTTGACTTGGACCTTTCTCCACAGTTGACGCCAATAAACACCTTACAGGACTCAACGCCAAATAGCTGTCAACTCATTAGCAAAAATAGGCCCATCAAGCCGGTCAGCTCTCTGATAAACCCTTCTCAAGTAACCCTGAATTCTAGGAGGAAAAACACCATATCATCGATTGACTCCAGATTACGAGTTACGGCCCTTTAAACATGTGCAACTCCCTGCCCTATGACCTGAATGTGCTGGATGTTCCAGCAGTGATACCACCCACCTTGTCCTCACCAATAAGCCTCAAATGCAGATGTGCCTCTCATGTAAACACTGGGCCCATGGCGACACGAGACCTAGTTCTTGGCTTGAATCTGACGTGCGTAAAGAAGAAGAGGCCCACACCAAAAATGCGCAACCGTAAACAAGCCTTCAACATTCCGCTGCTGAATAATTGCTACCAACCCCTCCTGCAGACGCCGGCTCATTAAAAACCATATCCAGAAATATCATGCAACCCCAGTCCCTATCAACCCATCTGAACCAGCTCAAAAGTTTTCCTCCTGCGCAATGCAACGGCCCCTGATTAAAGTCAACGAAGGCTTCTGCTTTCGCTGAGGCACTTCTTGTCACACATATGATATGTCTTCTACGCCTTCAACCAACGACCTAACCTGAAGACCCTTTATTGCATGCAAAAGTGACCTCTCCCCTCTCCGAGTGTTCGAATGCGGCACAGATACTACAGTAACCAACCCACATCTGGCAGAACCATGCCCCTCAGGACTACACAATGACTATAATCCCTCGTTATTTTCTAACGTTTACATCCAACATATTCCTGCCAATACCTTACCCATCACTAATAACTATTCTCACAAACTCGAAACTGTCTCCCCTGCCTCGTTTCAGCATGGTAACCAAGTGGACTCACTCCCAGGTGATGATCTACAACCAGATCTGCTCTATAATAACGCGGACCGTAGTATTTTAGCTGTCTACAATCTTATAACTGTTAGTACTCCCTCTGAGACCACAGCAACTGTATCTACGCAAACTACTCAGATTACTTCTGTTTCTGATAATGCATCAGATGGTCAGCCTTGCAACGGGGTGCTCACTCTACTTCTCATTAAGGCAAGGTCCATCAAACATAAGATGCACTTTATCAGCCTCGTCATTATCCTATCCGGCCCCCAGGTGGTGCTCATCACAGAAACGTGGCACGATGCTAACACTCCCGATGCACAACTGCGAATCCCGGGTTAAACCTCCTTCAGCAATAAACGCATCAAACACGGTGGTGGTGGATGCCGCATCTACGTGCGTGACGATTTCGGGGCGCCATCCCTTCAAGAACTTTCAATCGGCCCTCTTGAAGACTCGGTCTGGATTCAGACTAGTAGGTGACAGCACGATCTCATAATTGGCTGTCTGTATAACCCTCCACACACAACCACGATCGGCATACTCAGTATAATTGAACTCTTCACTAAGTATCAATATTGCCTACCCACTATAAGATAATCGGTAGTGACTTCAACATGCCACAAGTAGCTTGGCAAACACAATCTGCGCTACCCAAATACCGTACTTTTGTGGACACCATATATGCATTTGGGTGGAATCACACGTGCATGCAACCATCAGACATTATAAAACCCTAGATTTGCTTTTTACAAACGGAGTTGCGCATGCATCTGTTAGCTTGCTTGACCATTACTCTGGATGCGATCATAAAATAGCAAAGCTCCCTTTCCAACTACCAATTACTCGTCCTCCAGTGGCTAGATCAGCGTGTTCTATTCGGCTCTTCAAAAGCAATAACTAGACGAACTTTGCTCTACTTCTGAGATCCACCGGCTGGGATGTCTTCTTTCTGGCTACAGTTACGGACGCTGTCACTTCTGTACTATAGATAAATCTCGCTCACTGCCTGAATATACTTGCACCTATAACGAAGTAAAAAGCAATGCTGCTGTCTTAGAATGCAGCTCCCCTTCGCAAACTACTCTTCAGGCTCAAAAAGCTACACTCAAATTACAACAGGACCCAATAATTCTTCCTCCTTATACACATAAATGAAGTCCTGGTGGACTGGAGGAATTCACTAGCTACCGTAAATCTGTCCGAAGAACATACTGCCCTAAACTGCATTAACCGCAGCAAAACCTTCAATCATCTGATGAGGCGCAGAAGCAACCGCACCTCGAATTCGATTAATTCAATTATTCGTCCAGCCAACTCAATTACCAGTAATCTAGTTGAAATATATGAGGTCATGAACTTCAGCGACTCACCTATGCTAAACTAACCCCGCCTTTTACTATTCCAAGTTGCACCAATGATACTTTACGCACAGTACAATTTGACCTGTGTACCATTACTCGTGAAATGCGAGCTCTCAAACTATATGTTGAATACTGCCTCTTGAATACGTCAGGTTATAACAATGTGATATCAACTCTCCTAGTCGGATGAACGAACGAAACTCAGCATTATTTCCTCGCACAGCACGGTAACTGACAAAACTCGAAGTCTGTGGGTTCTCGGAACTTAGCCGCGAAAGATTTAATTCACGCGAGTCGAACGGGTTCCTAGACCGAACGCAAAGTTTCTACGCACGATTTCCCAACCCAAGACTGAATCAAGAGCAAGACAGGCCTTTTGCCACAGGCGCTTTTACTGGCCAAAGCCAAGGCGATTCTAGCGTTGTACAGAGGCTTCAAGTGGAACGGCGACTTAATTCAACAAAAACATCAACAAGAGCTATCAGTGATATTTTCTAACATTTTCACTTTAAACTGGACATTTTGCAAACCAAACTG